CCCCAAAACCCCAAAACCCCAAAACCCCAAAACCCCTCAAGTTTACAAATTTACTATTAGAGAGAAAATATTAAATAAATTCAAGATCAGCTTAAATTTTGCGATGAAAAACCAAAATAAGGAGAAACATACGTAGGTATTCCCTCTTCTTTGCTCATATTCTTATTTATAAACATGTCAATCGCTTTGCTTTCTGATGTATTTCCAGATAACACAACTAAAGTATCGATTCCACAATTATTTCCAAATAAGACATCAGTAAGTAAGTTGTCTCCAATCATAAGAAATTTACTTAGAGACTCCTCCTCTAAGTTGTGATCTCTTATCATTATTTCAAATGTCATTCTTTCAGGCTTGCCTATAAGAATAGGATTTACTAAAGTACCACCAATAATTGCATTAACTATTGAACCACCAGCCGGCATATGTCTATCCTTTACCTAAGTAGTAAAATACTTATCTGAATTAGTTGCAATAAAAGTTGAATTATTAAGTTGCAAGTATAGAGAAGCTAAACATAGTTTTCTATAGGTAAAACTAAAATTTATTCCTGCTATTACAGCGCAAACAGAACTATCTACCTCCATACTACTGATTTCATCTGACCCAATTTCAATAGAATCTCTCGTATCATCATAGTCATTAATCACTCTAATCCCATTATTTTTCATCTCCTACTTTAAGCCATTTTATCCTATTATGTAAACACTCTATTCCTATTGATTTGTGTCTTTAATAAGATTTTGCTTCACATACTAAGATGAGACATAAGCCGAGGAGTAAATATATTTAATGTCCAGTTCAAAATTGAAACTCCTAAGTTTCTCCTCTAAAATCTATTATCTAGTTCTTGTTGAATTATTAGTAATTAGGAAAATCTTTTTGTGAGGATAGAATTTTTAGATCATTCTCAAACCATCAAAAGCATGTGGCTATTCATGCTCACCATGCCATAGCACTCCGTCACAATCAAACAGAAAATAGTCATACTTTTCAATAAGATATTCAATTGAAGTGCTATATAATTATTAGATTATTAGTAGCTTACAAGCTAAGTGCTTCCTTGACTTGATCTTATTAGTCTGAAACTGAGTTCATTAATTAAAAGTATAAATGAGAATTAATTAACTTGGCTTTGATTTAAAAAATTAATAATATAAAAGTTTATTTAACAAATAATTATGGACGATAAGCCTTACCAGTTTGACCCTTAAAACCCTCGTCTAGTGACTAATGCTGAGATACCTCAAACACAATACTACTTGGCTGGTGCTCTCTTCTTATTGTCTGTGAGAGCTTACCACCGCAGAGTTTTCAGAGTTGATTAGAATACCCTTAACTTAGTTTTGTTCTCAGGAGCTTCCAGTCTTGCTAGCTACGCTTGGGCTAACTTCTTCCTCAGCTCAGGTGTCCTCGAAGCAGGTCAACTTAACAATCAAAAAGAGTTACAACGTGCTTGAAAGGGATTCATAGTCAACAGGACTAAGGCTTCAAGCTTCAATCTCAGAAATGCAAATACTGGTTGAAAGCTTATTTAAATAAACAGTTCACAAATACACAATTTTTTTCTTTACCAACTCTTAATAATTATCAATTATATAGATTTCTATTATCACTCTTTTCAAGTAGAATCTTCTGACAGTGGGGTTTTGGGGTTTTGGGGTCGGAAGAGCACACGTCTGAACTCCAG